GATGGGGTTGCAGTTGTGGCTCCTTTGGAGGTTGTTTCTGATTCCCTACAGTGGATGTGTGCCCCTTGGGTTCTGGGACTTTTTTCTGGCTCCCATCTGGGAGTGCAGCAGGAGGAGCCGTGCCAGCCCAAGTACTTGCATGCTGTCAGCTGCCTGTCCCCCCCTACCCCCAAACCACTCATCCCAGTATGAGGGCTGCAGCCAGCTCAGCTCTGACATTTATTAACAGAGGGGCTTTGAAACAAGGCAGGCTGCTCCTGCAAAGGCTCCTCACTGCAACTCCGTCTCCTCTCGCCAGCCCATCTGAAGCAATGGCTGCTGGTGTTGAAATTCATTAGTGCTCACTGACAGGCGATGGAGGCTGGCTCTGTCTGTTCCCACTTCCCTGCTCTCATGTCCCCGCTTCACGAACGCTGATATTTAAAGCTGATGTGCAGCTCGTAGGCTTGTTGCGCTGTGACAAGTTTGGGGGTGGCTGAGAGAACTGAGAGGGTGGAAGGAAGGCAGAGCGAGATGGGGGGGGGGAGAGGAGAAGAGAAGGCACCTGTCTCAGGGTTTCTGCAAGAGCCTAGGGCTTCTCAAACCCTCTCCAAATGTATTGTCTTGGCACAGCTGCTGCTTGTGAAGTGCAATGATGGAGGCAGAGGGATGGAGGCGCAGAGAAGGCAGTCACCTGGCAGGGGCTAATCCAGCCCTTGACCAAGCCTTGCTCTTGGCAGCTGTCCTACTCCCCTGGGTGACACCTTGCTTCTGCTCTGTGCTGCCACATCTCAGCATCTCCACTGAAGCTTCCCATGCTCCTTCAGCAGAGGACTTCCAGAGCAGAAGCATGCTTGCCCTCTCCTTGGCAGCTTGGTGCAGCGAGGTTGGCTGGGCCGCAATTAAAATGTTCTGCATCTCTTCCAACTCGAGGTCTCCGGTGCGTGATTTTTTTCTTTTTTTTTTTTTGAAAGCTACAACCAGGTCTATAAATATCAAGATTTAATGTCCCTTTATCTTTCCCAAAGAGGGACTTATTCTTTAAACTGCCTCAATATCAATACACCCAGTGTGTAGAAAGTGGCCCAATTTCTTTGTCTCCTGACATCTTGAACCCAGAAGCAGATGGACGTTAACCAGCTCTGATGAGTTGGGAGAATCAAGCATTAATTTTTTATACACGAGGACCACCTGAGTGACGGAAATCAATTATGGCCAACCCTCCCTTCCATATTAATGTGGTGGCTCTGAGCAGAGGCGGAGGAACCTGTTGAAATGAGAAACCCCTATTTCTTAGTTTGACCCCCTAGATAATTAGGGTTAAATTGATATGCTATCGCACTGGTGACACATTTTATCTGCCTCTGTTTGTACAAGAGGATACAATAGTGGAGGAAGGACCAATTTGTGCCCTGCTCTAGCTAACCAGACCGAGATAAAAGGTGTCACTCGTACGATAACGTTCTTGCCTCACGCTCCTTTATTGTTGCTCAATTTGCCTTTTTTTCTTTTTTTTAAATCCCATTCTCTCTTACTTTCAATACCCTTGGTCATATTTTAACTCCATGCCATCGCATAATGATGCCCTGCTAAATGTGTGTGGAGATAGGCAACTCTGGCTGACAGCCTTCCCCGATAACCGAATTCCAGCCCATCCATCACTAGGCTGCTCTCCTTAACTTAAGGGAAGTGATAACTAAAGCAAGGCCGTTTATCACCGCTGAGCTGTGCGCTTCTCACTGGTTTCACTGGGAGGAATGCAGTCAGGTGACCTCACTTTCCGTTTACATCCCGTTCTTCTCCAGCCCCCGTTTACTTCACAGCATGAAGAGGACCAGGGCTGGGTGGAAAACAGCCTGGGATGAGGGGGCTCTCTGAAAATGGAAGTGCAGGCTTAAGCAGAGCTGCATTGGAGGCTGGAGGATCCCGCAGCCATTTTCAGGCTTCTCACTGGCAAGTGCCTGAAGCACAGTCGTTGGCTGGTGAGATTGTGTGGAGAGGAAGCAGCGAGACTTCATTCAGAAGCTGGAAGCATGGTGGGATCTTTGTTGTTCACTTGATGTCAAGGGAAGCAGAGGAGTCTCCATCCCTGGAGGTATTTCAGAGATATATGCACGTGACACTGAGGAACACGGTTTAATGATGGGACTTGGCAAGTTGGGTTGACGTGTGCACCTGATGGTCTTGAAAGTCTTCTCCAGCCTTGATGACTCTGTGATTCTGTATCCTGAGCTATTTGCTTGAGCACAGCCGCTCTACTCATCAAGATTGAATTTTACCAGATGAGGAGCCATATTGAGCATAAGGCCTGTTTGCCAAATGATAGAATAATTTGAGTTGGAAGGGACCTTTAAAGGCTGTCTAAGTCTAACTCCTCCACAATTGAACAGGGTCACCTACAGCTAGATCAGGTTGCTCAGAGCCTGGTCCAGCTTGGTCCAGCTGAGCTGCTCGAATCAACAGTGATCCTAATAAATGGAGATGCTTTCTTAAAGGCCTTGGCAGTTTTATTCCCCAGGAGAGTCACAGGTTTGCCATGCCTATTCCAACGTGGAGAAGGTGATGGAGAAACTGCTGCCTGTTCCCTAGGTTGGGGGAGCACGGACCCACTGTAGGTGACAACCTTGAAGCTAGGAGTGCTTTCCTGGATCCTGCCTTCGGTGCAATGAGAGCCCCCAGATCCCCACGTCTATGCCGAGACCTCTGCAGCTCTGGACTACACCAGAACACAGGGCTGTACTTCAGTAAGGGCAAGGTGCTCAGGGGCTGTCTCCCTGATAGCCTGGGGCCACCCGACCTGAATCTTCCAGCTCAGGAAGCGGGGGCTGACAACCTGCCCAGGTTATGGTATGAATATGGAGCTGCCAGTGCTTTAAAAACTTGGTAAAGTCTCTCTGGTGCTAATGTGAAATGAGGGGAGCAGAAGCACAGAGGGGGAGGAGGAATGTCCTTAGGTCACACAGTTCCACAGCCAGTTTCTGGGGTTGTTACTTGTTTGCAAAAATGGGTCATTTATTTAGTTGACATATTTATTTGGAACATTTATTTTCTCCAATTAAAGTCCCGCTGTCCAGCGCCCTGGGCTTACTGCCATCAGTCTCAGGGTGGGAGAAGAACCAAGCTGTCCTGTTTCCTATCCTTTTTGATCCCACGGGTATGGAAATGCTTTCATGTCATTCATTGAACTGGGTGGTTAGCTGTCACTTCGTGTGGCTAACAAGAACAGTTCTGTTCTGGCTTGTCCTAAGCCCTGTCTAAATGTTAGGTGAGATGAGAATTATTCCTTTAGCTGGAGCCAGGTTGAAGGCTGTATTAATGAAGATTTCTTGGGCTGAAAGGGGAAACCATTTAGTAACGCATTTCTTACTAACAGCTCTTGTGGTCCTCACCAGCTAAAGTGAGCAGTCCCAGAGGTTGAGCTGATTCCCCTGTTAGACCCATCATTTATTTGAGATAGTTCCTTTTTCTTGTGATGTTTTTTCATTTGGCCCTCACAGAAAGCAGCTTTCCTAGGATGCTGGTTGGGCTTGGTTATGTCTGTTCAGCTCTGGGGTGTCATGGACACGGGTAATGGCACAGGGCAGGCTGACTTTTACGTGATAGCCATGCAGTTGTGATGGTACTGGCATTAGATGAGCTGTGCCAAGAGATGAGAGCACACTGTCATGTTGTGCTGCTTACCTTGCAGATCGCCTCGGTTCTGCTGCTGTAAGCTCATTCTTTTGACAGAAGAGATTCTTGTGGACCTCTTTATTTAAATGTTTCTGTATAGCTTAAATTGCCACTCCTAAATGAGGCTATGTGTGTCTTTACAGGACCAGGTGCTTGGTTTTAGCACAGTCTTTCCCTTCCTCATCCTAAGCAAGCTCACAAAGGCAGCTCACTGCTGGGGCTGGGCCTGGCAGCTGCATTGGTCACGTATTTCTGGGAGATTCCTTTGAATATATTTGCCAGTTTTTGTCCTTTTCTTCCCTTTAGGAATTAGGTAGCAGCGTTCCTTTGGTTACTGTGATACACAGAATCTCGTGTTACCCACAGATGTGCTGTCTGCATCCCCCCTTGGTTTCTTCATAGTTCAGCTGCTCTAGATCTGAAGGGATGCTGCCCTGAAAATCAGAGGGCTTGGAGATAGGCTGAGCTCTTAGCTACCGTACAGGGGCTGATGGTGCACTCAGCTCAGAATTTGTTCCTGAATTTCAGTCCTGAATCTCAAGTCCAGTCTGGGTTCTCTGTGTTTTGCCCTGGACAGATGTGTGCTGAGATGCTGGAGCAGCTGATGCTGGCACTTGCGGCTCTTCCCTCCTCCCCTGCAGTCCCCACATGTTTAAGGAAGTTGTGAGATTTCCCCACCCCCTCTGTTTGCAAAAGCCAATTCCTGGGGTTGTGGCTTTTAACATGCACAAATGAGTCTAATTTAGTCATTTATTTAGTTGACATATTTATTTGGGATGTTCCTTTGCTTCAGTTAAAGATCCTGTGACCAGTGCCCCAGGCATGCTCAGCAGTACGTGAATGAACAAGATTCATCAATTACTCCTGATTGGATCAAACTGGCTGGAGAGGACTCCTATAACTCATCTCTAGCACAGCTGGAGCCCCGGTTTTGCTTCTCAGCCTTCCCCATCCATGGGCAAAGCAGGGTTCTCTGCCTGGCTGGCATTGTGCAGAAGGAGCCACTTTCCAAATCCAGGGCTTTTGGTGTCCCTCTGTTCCCATAAAGTGAGCCTTGTTGGCAGAGGTTAAAGATTCATGCTTGCAGATCTGGCCAATACTGCTCAAACCTGCAGTAGGACAGTGTGCAGCTCTTTGCATCTTCAGCCTGGCTGTGGCTGGGTGTGTGTCAGGCTTCAGCCAAGCTGTGCTCTCGTGAGGTTTGTTTGCTGCTGTCCTTTCTGATGTGCAGCCTGCTGCTGCAGGCTGGAGGGGCTCTTCCATCTCAGAGTGAAATGTGCTTAATAAAACAGAGTTTGTGTTGTCAGGACAGTAATTGAATCAAACCTGCTCTCTCTTCTCTCTTACAGGTTACCAGGACAATGCCAGTACTTAGGGCTGCCGGTTGCTGATTACTTCAAACAGTGGATTAATCTGAAAAAGGTACTTTTGTGCAAGCTGCCATGGTCTCTGTCTCACCCCCCCCTTTTTTTCCTTCTTTCCTCTTAAGGAGGTGTCTAATAACTACTGCTGTTTTGCATTGAAATGAGTTATTTTCTCAGAAGCTGGTCTCAGCGAGTCCTCTGACTCCTATTGTATCTCCTCTAATAGAGTCTTACTGTACTTGATGGGATATGTTCTGCAGCTGGGGAGAAACCCATTGTGGCAGCACAGTGCAGTGTCTCCATGTAATAGTGGGATGCTGCAAGGCCTCTCACCAGCAAGGGTTTTGTTGATCCCAGTTCTGCTCGCTCTGTTTTGTCTGCAGCCATATAAGGCTCCAAGGAGCATGGTTTCCTTCTGATAAAATTCTGGTTGATAAGTGGGCAAATATGCTGGTATAAAAATGAGCATTTCCCTTCGTGCTGTGCTGTCTCAGCAGCATGTCCACCTAAGAGACCAGCGATCAAGTTGCAGAGCAAAATCCCTTGCACTTTGCTGTGCGGTGCTTCATCTCTGACTGGCAAGGAGCAGCCTGCCATGCACCAGCATGGAAAAACATGGTGAAGGCCCAAGTGGCAAATGGGAGTGGAAAGAAAAAACGAACGTGATACCCAGCTGTAGCAGGGCTGGGGAGGCTGGGATCTGTGCAAAGCATGTCTGGGGTGGTCCTTCTGATTAAACCTTGGAGTGAGTAGGGTTCCCTTCCCCCATCCAATTTCATGTTTTATTTGGGTTTCTGTGCCTTTTCCTTATAATTAGGGGTCTCAGTAAGTGGAATTTGCCTGTAAACAGCTTGTTGTAGTTACGGGCTTTTCTTTTGTTCTTTTTATTTATTTATTGTTTTAAATGGAAGCATGAGTGACAGGCTGAGCAGCCACAGAAGGACAATTTGCATGATCTGTTCCATCAAATGGGGGAGAACATGAGCTGAACAAGGGATGCTGGCAGCACGTTCCCGGCTGAACTTGTCAAGGGGTCTTGTATTTCCCTGCTGTCAGAGCAAATCTTTTGGCTGATTGCTGGTCCTTGGTAAATGAAATCTGAAAGCACGTTGGGGCATTCTGCAGTTCAGTGACCATTAATGATCGCCATTTGAAGTTCACTAAACTTCCGGTGAATGGATAGCAGCTACATAACCAGCAGGTTGATGGCTTCAGAATAATAATAATAAAAAAAATAATCCTGTGTCCCATGATGTTTGCTCAGCAGTAGGTTGATCCATCTGTGCTCCTCCTCTGGGTCTATGGATGGATGACTTAGGGCTCTTTTCCATAGCTCAAGGCTCTAGGATTTAGTATAGCAGGGGCTGTGATGTGTTGTAATGCAGACCAGACAAGCAGCCGTTCTTCAAGACAAGTGTTTATGCACTGAGCTACAGCATAAACTCTGATAGTGAGCTGAAGACTGGCGAGCATTGGTGAAGCACCAAGCACAGGGCTGAAGGACAGAGGGAAACATGGGAATGCTCCCCTGCCCAGCTGGCTGCAGGGGTTGCAGACTAAGAGTGTAGGATGGGACACACGGGCTGGGGCTTGTGTCTGCTTGTCCTTGTGCAGGTGTGTTTGTTTTTATCAGAGAGCATTTCCAGCCTGAATAAATAATCCTGTGCGAGCAGCAGAACCCAGCAGTCTCAGTTTCTTGTGTCTGAGCTCCCAGCATGAGACAAATAAGGATGGACGGGTGACTCGCCCCCCTGCTCCTCCCTTGGAGCTCAGGCGGCCCCTTTTCTCCTCCCTCTGGCAAGTTCCTGACTTAGAAACACCTCCTAGTGCCTCTGACCTGATCCATGAAGTGAAGATGTTGGGGGTGGTGTGAAACTGCTAATTTCTAGGTCATGGATAATGTGGAGACTTGGATCTTTCAGATGTTGAGAGAAAGGTTCATCTGAGTGTAAATGGCATGCGTGACTGAAAGCAGCTTCCTGCAGAACGGTCCCACCTGCATCCTGTTGGCTTTTACTTGGGTCTCTGCTTGTGACCACTGATAATGAGAGAATCCCACTGAGTTTGGGAGCTGCAAATCAGAATCCAGGGACATGTGCTGGGCAGGTGCATGCATGAGGCAGACGTAGTTTGTTTCTGTGTGTAGTGATGCAGCATCGAAACATACTGCATGTTCCTCTGCTCATGCACATGGAGCACACTTGTATTGCACCAGGAAACCTTCTGGGACTGGTCTGGCCTTGACAGTAATGCTGAGCTCCATCCTGCCTGCTGCCGTGATGTCTTGGATCTGAGCTAAAGCCTCCTGTGAAAGACAAAGGGAGAAAAGCTGCTCATGCACTTGACCGAGTTTGCAGAAGTTTTACCTTGCCCTGTGCCTCCCCCAGCCTGGTAGCACATCCCTGCTGCCAAGCCTGATCGGTGTTTGCTGACATTTTTAATGTCACTGAGCGATCGTGTATCTCTAGTGAGCTGTCAGGGTAGAGCTGACTCGGGGCAGAGAGTTGATCATGTTCTTCCCTTCGATGAGCTGAGCACGGAGGGAGGGCTGCAGGAAGCAGAGCCATTCTGTGAATGCCGCAGCATTTTAGCTGTCCCCTTAAACCATCTCATGTGAGAGCCACCATCCTGCCTGCATGTGTCCCTTGTGCACCTGTCACCTGGCTGCTGCACCACTGGCACCCTCAAGTAACAGGGATGGGTTTGTGAATGCCTGCTGCACCAGGATCAGCTCCTATCTGTGCTGTGCTGGCTCTTTTGGGAGCTGGTGTGGCTCACTGTGCCAGCTTCTGCTGCAGCCGCTGCTGTCAGTGCAACATGCAGATGTGGGTCAGGTCAGCCTGCTCTGGTTCCCAGCCATTACCTTCAGACTGGGACTGGTGGCTGTCCCTGACCCTGTGCCTGTTACCCACTGCATTTGCTGCATCTGCTGCCATTTGTTTCTTTTTCTGAATCTGCTGACGCTTTCAGTTTCTACAGCATCCTGCAGCAATGAGTTTTGCTATTTAATTATGCATTAATTGTACTCTGCTTATGCACAGTAGTGTGAAGATGCATGTCCTTTCATTTCTTTTAAACCTTATCATTTTTGTGAACTTCAGCCTTCTCTTCTGTGAAAGAGCAAAAAGTGGTGCCAGTTTCTCTCCTACTGTTGACATGAGGCCCCTGCCCTAGTCTGCCTTCATGGTCTCTTTTGCAGCCCAGCACAACTGTTGGTGGGGAGCTGGCACAGAGCCACAGGCTGTTCCCTGACTTCAGAATTGGGTTGTGGGAGCTATTTTTAACACTGTGTTGTCATCTTCCATTTCTTCTTTGGAGGTTACGTAGTTATAAGAAAACTGAGGAATATTTTATGGAACGTGTAAGGATTTGTTTTATTCCTTATTTTTCAAATAATACTTACTTGGAAGAAAAAAAAAGGCAATCTTCATACTCACTGCAGAGCCAAGGCTGTCCCTTTCTCATCCAGGCCCGTTTGACCATCTTTTATCTCTGTTCACAGAGGTCCACATGTCTTTAGGTACACAAATGGTGGTTACTTCAGAAAGTCCATGCTGGGATAAGTACAGGGCTGGTGTTTTCCAGGCCCAGCTTTTAGTGATCTGTAGGTTTCTGTAGCTTGGAAGCAAACAGCTAATACATATGGACAAATATTTTGTCATCTACTAGCTTTGTGAAATACAACAGAGGAAGGATGTAATAGGATGTTTTTGTTAATATTTGGCAACTGGAAGTAAACACATTCTAAACAAACAAAAAGCTGTTAGCAAGTCTTTGTCTCTTCTCTGAATTAACAATTCCTTGTGCCTTTGGGATGGAAGGAGTTCTTAGGCACTTGGTATTAGTGCCATGAGTGCTTTGGATGAAGAACATTAAAATGGATGCAGTTGAGAAATAGGCTGTTTTTTGACACATGCCTGAAAGTTACTTCCAAAAGTTAACCTCTTGAGGGCTAAGTGTGTGCGTGTGTGATGGCTATCAATTGCCTGTTGATTGAGTTACTAGCTATAGGGAATATAAAATGCCTAGGAAGGTCAGAAATGACAGGGAAGAACTTCTCAGGCAGTGTTTCACAACTGAAGCATTAGGCATGTAGTCAGGCACCTGGTGCTTGAGACCCTGTCCTGCCTGCCTTCATGGGAGCTGTGCTCTCTTAGCCCCCTATCCCTCGCTCTGGAGCTCCTGGCCTCAGTAAATAGGTCTCTCAGAAGGCAGCAATGTTAGATGTTGTGAAGGGAAGCAAAAGTAGAAACACAGCTCCAGTGGTAAGGGAGGTAAGGATGTCCTTTCTGTGAAAACTGGGAAAGAAAAGTGTCTGTGCAATGGCATTGGTTCATAGCTGGAAGGGAATGGAAAGATTGCTTCTAACAGCAAAATGCATTGCTCCGTATTTACTGAAAGGCAGAGGATGGCGTATCAGTGAGCAAGATGCTGTTACGATACAATAAGTGGTTGCTTTAGGTTGGCATTTTGCATAGCTGGTTTACAAGAGCTTTCAGAGAGCTGGCTGAGAACCTCTCAGCTGTTCTTGTTGCTTTTAATAAGTCTTTGAACATGGGGGAAGTTCTAGAGGACTCGAAGAAAGCTAATGTTGTACCAGTAATTTAGAAGGGCAAATGGGATGACCGATGAAGTAATTATAGCCCTATCAGCTTGACATTAATTCTGGGCAAAGTAATGAAAAGCCAGATATCATAGATGATTAATAAAGAATGAAAAGAGGGTAATATAATGCCAATCAATGTGGATTTATGGAAACTAGATCTTTTTCAAACTAACTTGATATTTTTTTTATGAGACTGCATGTTTGGTTGATAAAGGTAACCATGTCAATGTAATATACTTCTGGAAGGCATTTGACTTGGTACCTTATGACATTTTGATGAAGAAACAAGAGTGATACAAAATCAACATGGCACACATGACATTGATTAAGAACGAGCGAACTGACAGCTCCTAGCATTTAATTGTAAATGGGTAATCATCATGGAGTTCTTGTTTTCCTAGTGAGGCCCCATAGGGATCTATTTCTCAGGCCTCTTGTATTTAGCACTTTTA